TCTAGCTCCAGTTTCTCGGGTGATCTTGGGTAAGTGATTTAACCGTTCTGTGCCTCAGTTTCCTCCTTTGTAAAACAGCCATAAAAATCGTGCACACCTGATAGGGTTAATGGTGAGGATGAAAAAAGATCAGTTTTGGGGGGGCTTAACCGAGTCCCTGGAACGTGCACGTGCCCCTTCTATGCCAGCTATTTTATTATTGTTGTTCCGTGTACTTTGAGCGCCCACATCTGCAACATATACATCTTGATTATACGCATCTTGATTATAAAACAACCAAATGCTTGTACATCCGGAACTGTCTTGAGCGTGAACTTCTAAATACAAATCGGAAGAGACGTCTACAGATGGAGCAGGCACAAGTGTACGCACACACGCGCATCTACTCCTAACACCGGTAGTTCCTGGCCCCAGGGCGCAAACACCCAAAGAGCTCCCCATAGGTACGAACATCCACAGCTATGGATATAAGAGCCCAGGTTTCGGCTCAAGGCCTCGCATCTACCCCCCGACAGCCACTCTCTTGGCTGGTTGCCGGGAGGTCAAATTTGGAAACCAGCGAGGCAGAAAGTGCGCGGACTCGAAGCGTTTCGAGCCTCTTGCAGCGCCCGAAGGCGGCTGCCTGTCTGCTGGCTTAGGGGAAAGGTCAGAACAATGGTTTTCCTTCTTGGGTGGAATTTTTTTAAGGGCCTGCGCGCTGGGAGCTCTCCCCACAAAAAGAGGGTGGGTTCCAGGCCAGCGCAGATCCAGAGGGAGGCACTACACACACACTGACACACGCACGCCCGCGTACGCACACCCCGCTCCTTCGGGGTTGCCGGACCCGGGAGGAGGGAGCGCAGGGTCGTGACCCCTGCCTCCGCCGGAGCGCGCCCTTCGGCCCCTGCAATTAGCGCCGGGAGGTCAGCAGGAACCCGGACGCCTTTACCCGCGGCTCAAAGCACAGCAAAAGGCGACCCCCCCTGCCCCTCCGCCGGTTTCAGACGCCAGGGTTGGAGCCGACCTTCCCAAGGGGCGGGGGCCAGAGGGCTCAGGCCGGCACCCGCATTTGTCACCTTAAATCTACAAATCACGAAGTCGCTCGGCCCTGCAGGCTGCGGTAGCTGACCCCAGCCGGGGCCCTTATGGACTGCTGCTCCCGCGAGCCGCGGCCTTTGTCCTTGTAGACGCGGCCGGTGTAAAAACTGAAAAATCCCAGAGTTGTAAAGTGAGAAAGAGAAAGAGATCCAGGCACAAGGAAGATGCACCCGGGTAGAATTCGAGTTGTGTATATCGGGGAGGGCGGGATCCTTTCTCCCTCCGTCTCTCCATCATGAACTCAGGTTATCCCCTGCCTGGCAGGGTCGGGGGAACTGCTACGGGGAGTTTCTACGTGGAACAGCAAGGCACTTGGCGAGAAAATTGCGAGAGGGTCGCCCCTCACTGAATTTCCTTAGGCTCTTTGGAAACCCAGAGGCGGGAAGGACTGTTTTTCTCATCTGAGGCCCAAACAGGAGTGAAAGTGATATCCAGGAAAGAGACGACGGCTGCTTCTTCCGATCTTGGGGGGATAGAGGGCGGGAGGAGGAAGGGAGAGTAGGCTGGGGTGGCGAGGAGGAGAGGGGGCAAATGTGAAGCGCCCAAGTTCCGGAACCCGGGAGGCGCTGGGGTGCCGAGCAAGCGGCGGCGACCAGGGCGCACTCGTGGGCCAGACAGATAGGTGGCACTCGAAGCCCGGAAAAAAGGCGAAGGCGCCGGCCCCGAGTGGCCTCTGCGGCGGCCGCCGCCACCATAAAGCCCGCGGCGAGATTGCGACCGGCGCCAGGTGAGTAATAGGCTACGAAATCCAGAGAGATTGCGAGCGGTTCACCCCCCGTCCATCAGCGCCACAAGAGTTACTCATTAACATCACTATATACAAATAAGATACACAGGAGATTAAAAAAAAAAAAAAACGGCAAGCTGTGGGAGAGACTGGACACACGTCTGAGCACTGTCCGAGAATTTGGGGGTGGGTGGGGTGAGGAGGAGGTGAGCAAATCTGGACTGAGAGGGAAAAGCATTCCTTCCTTCTTTGAGGCCGAGGCTGTTTTCTCCCCCACTCGGGAGAGCGCCTCTGGGCACACACAGCCGACTACCACCTTCCAGGGGCGCAGGCACCGCGCGGAATCGTTGGGACAAGAATCGGCCCCAGTGGGCAGCAGCTACTGCGCGTAGGGCGCGCGCCCTGGAAATCTCTGGGCCCTCGGGGGAGCCAGCGCCCCAAAAGTCCCCAGGTCCTCCAAGCCCCCTCTCTGACCCTGGTTGTTTTCCTTCCCACCCCGGGAGACAGCGCAGGAGAGGCTATGGTTCTCCCCACGCGCCTGGCTGGAGATAGAAGGGGCTTTGACCCCCTCTCCAAAAGGTCTCGACCTCAATCCCCTTCCAAGTACAGGATTGGGGGGGGGGGCTCTTCCAAGCCGGCCATTCAAGAGGCCCGAAGGTGACAGGGACTTGGGGCCGGGCTGGCGGGCTCCAGGGAAGGGGGAGGGAGGCAGCCGCCAGGCAGGCTCCGGCTGGGTGCTCACGTCATGGCCCCCAGGGCAAGAAAAGGCCTAGAGAATCTTCCTGTACCCCCCCCCGTCCCCCCCTCCACACACACACACACAAACGCACACCTCTGAGGCTAGGCTGGGGGTGGGGAGGCGAGGAGACCGAAAGACTGTCATGGCCTCTCCATTTTTTATTGAATGTTTCAAAGATAAATTGAACTTCAAAAGGCAACTCCCCAAACAGCCTGGAGGCTGGTTGGAAGGGAGACCTGGAGGAGGGTGTCGGCCTCCTGGGCGACTTTTCCCTTGGAGGGGGTCAAATATGTGCCCCGGAATTACCTATCCCTTGCGGGGAAAGCTTTCCTCCTCCCCCGCGTGCCACAGCTCAGTTTGCGCGGAGCTGGCCGCACTTCGCACGCACAACTCGGGATGGGGCCTCGTCGGGGTGACTTGGGTCAGCCTGGTCCAATCTGAGACACCAGGGACCGCAGGGGGACCTTCAGTTTCGTCCTCTTCTCCTACAACCTGGAGAGTGGCTGCCTTGCCAAGCCGGGTCTGGTCGCCAGGAAAGTCCACTGGCTTTTTTTGCACACTGGTGCAAGGAGATATTTTTCACTTGAATTTCCCAGATCGACGCGAAAATGAAGAGCGAGCCTAAAACGAAAACGTTCGCCGTCCTCGAGCGTATTTTTGGACGGATTCGTGTGGGAAATACTGACTTAGGGAGCGGAGCACTCTTTTTCCATTAAAACTTAAGTATCTGAACTTGCCATTCTATCCAATTCTAATCAGCCCCCGCTCCGTCTCTCGTTTTGCCCCCTAATTTAAAGGAAAAGTAATTTCAGATTGAAGCGGCTCCCTTTGCCCGAGTAAGGGACTTTTGTTTTTAGCTTTGTAACTTGAGTGACATCTCATTTTGGTTCAGTGGGGGCGGTCTTAATGACTTAAAGGCGAAGGGAAGGGGACAGAGGAAGCAAGAAAGACTCTCCACTTTCAGGAAAGTTCCCTAAAGAAAGCACTTAACACGAGGCCCAAAGACATTTCAATAAAAATTTATTGAAATTTCAATGATGTTTTAAAGAGAGGGGGAAAAAATACAGAAAAACCGAAGAACTCAACAATTATAACACAAAATATACCTTCATGAATTTTTGACTTTAAACCATCTCTCAGCACCTGACTTTTGAACTGTGAATCTCTCTCTATAGGCACCAATTCAAAACACCATCAATATTGAAGACAATAGTCAATTCCACTTCACTTTGAAGAAATCAGAGACTAGCAAATGCAAATACAAAAGAAAAATTAGAAAGTCAAACCACAGCCTGTGCAGTCCCCTCCCCCAACCCCCCAAGCAATCTCAGAACCACTCTTAGGGTGTTAATGTTTTAAGGAATTTAAGGTGGGGCTGGGAAGTGGAACCATCTCGCCAATTTTGGGTAAAATCTGCAATAGCACTTTCCCCCACTCTTAGACATCAAAAAAGAAAAAAAAAATTTTTTTGCAGACAACTCTTTTGAAAGGGTGTTGGTGTTGGTGCAGAAAGTGTTTTCTCGTTTTAAAAGCGATCCTGTGACCTTGAAATAAAACTGACTAAAGAAAAACGAGAACGCAAAACCTGACAGCTGCGATCCTATTTACAAAGAGCTATGTACAATGTCAATAAATTAAAGTTTAATTTTCCGAGCATTCATATTTCACCTATTTACAAGAGTTATCAAATAATTACATAAATACTTTGTCTAATAGTCTCGCTTCTTCTTTATTATTTTTTTTAAAACCTTGTTATTGCATATACGTACAGGAAAGAGAAAGAACTGGCAAAGAGGGACATGAAACCTGCTACACAGCTTAGATAAAATAAATTCATTTTCTGTGTTTCCCCCACTCCTTCCCTTTAAATCCTCGCCCTTGGGGTTGCCGATGCGAGGGGAGAGAATCTGAGGGTAGACAATCTGGGAAAGGGTATGGGGTCATGTTCTTTTCTGTCTAAAAGCAAGCATTCAAAATAAAAACCACGAATACATTACTGTGGAGCATGCAAGAGACCTATAGCGGCTCTTAAAACATCACAAGAATATTAAAAAGACACATTTCCTTAATAGAGACTAAACAAGGATGGCAGCCTCCCTCCCCGAACACTGCTGCTCGGTAATTTATTTAGAACTGATACAGGCAAGTCACTAGAAAGTTTTATTCTTCACAAACAGAATCATGTTAATGTATTCATTTGTCCCCCGGTATTTTTTTTTAAATTTTGTTTTTGTTTCCACTTGATACAGTGAAGGAAAAAATATATAAATCTGCGCTGGGGTGGGGGGTGCGGGGGAGCCTTTCCACACCTCCCCTTCTGGTGGGCCTGGCTAGGTTTTTCTTTCTTCTAGCCACAGCTCTGAGACCAGCCTCCCTGGAGGTGCTCTGGACATAAATGCTTTAACTCCCACCCCCAAGAGCTCAATGCAACAGACGGTTCTGAGCCCCAGAATTGGAGCCAGATCCCGGATATATAAACCACGCCAAGAAGACAGGGCCTGTTTCTAGCACATTCTCTCGAGGGAGTCCGGCACCTCGTCCCAGACAGGACCCCACAAAGAAGGGCTGCACCGCCCACCGCACGCCGTGGTTTATCTTACATCCAACAAAGTGCACTGCAGACTGGACTGGAATGAAGAGACTTTTGGGGGAGGGGTTACGGGGAGGCGCTGCGGGACCGGTCCGGCTTGGCTTCCAAGCCACTGACCAAGCGCTGGATGCTCTGCAGTTCGCTGGTGGCCGCCTCCTTCTCCGGGCAGAGTTTGGGCGACAAGGACACGGAGCTGGAGGAGAGCGTGGAGGAGCGGCTGTTGAGTTCCGAGCCCGAGTCCACGGCCACCGAGGCCGGGCTGGCGGCCAGGGCGGCGGCTTTGCCGTCCAGGGGCCCCGCGGCCGCCGCCATGGAGGGCAGGGCGGTGCTGAGCAGGCTGCTGCTGTCCGGGACCGGCACGGGGATGGAGTAGGGGCTGTAGCGCAGGCGCGGGCGCATGGTGTTCAGGTTGAGGAAGGGGTGGCGGTGCACGGAGCTGGAGGCCGCCGCGGAGGAGGCGGCCGCCGCCGCGGCCATGTACGTGTAGGGGTAGGGGAACAGGCTTCCGAAAGGCGACATGGCCAGGCCCTGGGGAAGGAAGAGAAAGGCAGGCAGCGAGTCAGCCGAGGAGGGGCTGAGCGTGGAGAGGAGCCCACCTCCTCTATCCCGCCCCCCCCCAACCTGGGGCAAGTCATTAATCTCTCTTGCGGGCGGGGTGGGGGTGGGGGGTGGAGAAGGACACTCAGACTTCTTTCTCTAGGTCCAAATCTTACCTGTCACCCTAGACCAGGGTACATCACTGCCCCAGCGTTCTTATATGAAAGAACCAGGGAAATAGTAAATAATTGATATACCGATTGGGGACTTGATGGCTATTAAACGAGCTAATGCCTGCAATATGCGACACAGGGCGCCTGGCCAATGGGACTGTCAGAAATTCTCCCATCGGGATCAGTTGCTGCACCTGTTAAATGGGCTACGGAGACAGCCTACCCCACAAAGGTAGCTGGGTGAAAACCAGAGGGTCTACATTATTGGGCATACATTTCTTTCATTCTTGTTACCACCCTCCCACTCCAATCCTACAAGTTTCTCAAATGAAAAAAATCCAGGGAAGATCTTAAGCAAAAGGAAATTGGCCTGGGGGATAGGTGGGGGTGGAGGGGAGGGGGAAGAAGGGGGTTGCTATAAACAGAGACAAAAAAGTCACCTAGCCTGATATGCTGGTGTTACAGGTGGAGAAACTGAGGTAGGCACAGGGGTGCAGGAAGTCACTCAGCTAGCAAGTGGGAGAACAGGATTTAAAATCCAGGGACCCTGGCCTGGGCCACTTCTCTCTCGTCCCCTGCCTTGTGTGCCATTAGTATTTGTTTGCCAGGGAGCCCCTCCCCCACCTATCACCTGCCTACCTATGCTGGGTTCTCCAGGAGGGGCTGGCAGAGGAGAAAGGCAGAATTGAGAAAGGCCAGGCGCCAATGCTTTCTCAGTTCCCTCCTCTTCCCAAAGGGGGAGGCCAGTCCTGCCTCTTGGCTCAGGGAAGGGAGACGAATGTGCTCAGACAAAACATCAGGCAAGAGCGTGCAGAACACCCTCTAGAACCTTCTCGGTGGGTTCAGAGCATTTCCAGCGGCCTGAGACTTCTCCCCAGCCGCCCCGTGCCCCAGCACGGCTGTCTGAACCATACACAGGCCGCCAAGGCCTGCCACAGTTCCAGCCTGTCCCTCTCCTCTGACATTTCCCACGCGTGCACAGACCATTAACCCTTTGGAGAACAGGCTGGCCTGCCTGGGGTGGGGGGAGGGGAGAAACTTCAAATCCAGAGGAAAGGCTGCAAGACTCAAGACTCAGTTCCCACCCAGGGAGTCACCTCCTCTCCCCGGGCCTCAGTCTCCCCCTTGTCTAAGTCCTGGGGAAGGGTTGGCCATGAGATATTTCAGCTCTGAAGCTAAAATCATAGACGCAGGAAAGGGCCTGGGGTGGAGTCTCTGCTCCACCACTTACCGGCTGTGTGACCTTGGATAAGTTACTCAACATTCCGGGGCCTCTGCCCCTTCATCTACAAAGTGGAAGTGATAACAGTGCCACAGAAGTCAGAACAGATCAAGTCCTTAGAAGAGAGCCTGTATCAGTATTACCACCTACCTACTCTGCTAAAAACAGCCTTAAACTTAGGGGAAAGAAATTATTATTATTTCAAGCTACTAGGGGAGGGGGACTGGGCGAGGGTCTGGTATCAAAGGGCGGAGAAAGGAGAAGGAGTGGAGGGAGGAGGGGCTGCAGAGGAGGCAGGGGAAGAGGATACATACCTGAGAGGCCAGGACGTGCTGCTGGAGGTGAAAGGGCAGGGTGGCCGCCGACGCGCCCGACAGTCCCTGCGCCGCGGCGGCCGAGGCCATGGCCGTGGAGTCCAGGCCCGAGACGCCGGTGGAGGCCCCGGACACGGTGGCCAGCAAGGGCCCCATGCCGGCGGCCATGCTGGAGAAGGCGCCCCCCATGGCGAACTGGCCGGGGTGCAGGAAGAGCGGGTGCCCGTTGAAGAACTGCTGGCCGGCCAGGCCGGGGGCGAAGCCGAGGCCGGGCAGGGGGCCCTGGCCCAGGTGCGCGGC